TGACTGTTGCTAACACCAGTTTTGTAGAAATTATTTCGATGCAGCTACAAAAAGCAAAGTTTTGATAGGTTTCACTGATCATTTTTTAAGGTACACATTTATCATCCGCTACCTGACTATAAGATAGCAATGGAGAATGAGAATTGTTGCTGGTCGACAAATCGGCTGGACTAGGCATTGGCTGCAAATTTGTAGCAGCAGCTGCTGAACACTGTAAAAGCAAAACTCTGATTAGATTTTATCATCCCAGTATTCTCTTTTAACTGCTATTTATATTTGTAAAGAAAATTTATGCCGCATTTCTTCCGATTTTTTCAACAATCTGTAGCCATTAATATCCATCGACAATTCTGATGGCGACTTGTCAATCAGTGCCACATTTTGAAAACAAAAAATGTTTTTTCTGTTATTTAAAAAAGACTTCGAGGTTACAATTTTTGCATTAGGTGATCTCAAGGCAATTTAGCTAAATAATCATGCATGGAAAAAATGGGGTATTTGAGCGTTTACAAAAAATGAAGAACTTGTTGCACTAACTTTTGTTGCTTGGTTCCCGGCGTTAATGACTAACGTCTCGACGAGGTTATCTATGTATGTGCCAAGATGTTTACCGGCCAAAGCATCTGCCGTGTAATCGGTCTTCTGATGTGCCAAAGGTGCGTGACAGTACTTCGCCTGTTGAACTGACGTTGCTGCATACTAGAAATTGTAAAGAGAAGTCTTATTTCAACTTATGTTTCATATACAGACAAAGAAAGAACAGGTTAATCCTTTATCATCAAAGTTTAATACGTAACATAAAACGAAAAACCAGAGTTAATCAAAAATGCCCTCTCTTCCATTTGACATGTTTTGCCGTTCAAGGGTTTAAAAATTAAAAAACCACACCTTATAGACTACAGCACATATCTCGGCCTCTAAAGCTTTAACAGTAAATCCATTTAATGGTGCAATTACACGTTGATCGTTTTCCTCGCAAAGAACATTAGCATTACCAACAGGATGTTCCGTCACTGTATGCCTACCAACGATTACATCCAGTTTTCTAGACCACGGATTCCAAAAGGCTGACCACTCAGTTACAGAATGAATGATGCTTCCATTGTAGGCAATCCAACGTAAACGTTGTTGTTTAACAATTCCACCTCGTTGCAGTACCACTTAAAAATAACATACTATCTCGTTCTATCCGTTCTTTCAACCAGTTTAATCAAAAATTTTTCTCTGTAGAGAAAAAGAAAGAATAAAATTTCTAATAACTCAGTAATCAGCAATGAAACACCGTGTAATCAAGAATCCAAAAGATAGACAGATGTGTATGTTGCAAAAAATTTTTTTTCTGGTATTTGAAAAAAGCAGTTTCTCGAAAAAACAACTAGAAACTACGCATTTACGCAGAGCACTTAATATAACCTAAGCGCCAACCAAAAAAATCTTGTTTTTAATTATTTTTTGTAGATTCAAGAAATAATTACAAATAAAAGACAAGGTAAATAAATTATGCAGATAAAAAAGGAATTTGAACGTCATGTTAATACTTCTTAAAATGTTACAGAAGCGTAGATATAACTTCTTTTTTCTTTTCTCCATAGACACCTAAGAAAAACTTAACGTACGTTCTGCATGAATTTGCTTCATCTGTACTGCGTCACAGGGATGAATCAAATACAATATTGACTGTTTGGAAACATCTTCCGGAAGGTAACCAATGTACGTAGCAGCCCTAAAAAATAGCCAACCCAAAAATAAACACATTATTCGTGCGAACCAGCTAAGTGTAACGAGGTAACCGATGACGGATAAATGTTGTTTACTAATGGTACCATTTGATGCAGCAAGTTTTTTATTTGCAAAATTTATTTCAAAATCAAAAATAAATTTTTTTCCTTTTAAGCGGTCCTCCTATTACCAAGAAAAAAAGCTTTGCCCTAAAAAAGCGAAAAAAGTAACCAATCTAAAAAAAATGGAAACTACTAACGCAGGGTCAAAATAGGTAAGAATACAAGAGCCCGAATGACGTGTACAGAATGTTAATGGACGTATAGTTCCCGACGGACGAAATGCACTTCGAAGTTCGAGAACATGAACCTGAAGTGTCGGCAAGATTCCAGTTGTTCGCTTATATTCACATAACAACTCACAAGCTTGTCGTGATTTACCATTACTGTAAAAAAAAACCGAATAAAATTAATCCTTTTTCCTGCAGATACTAGGAAAGTGAAAAAGTCGGCTGAAGTTATGCTAAAGCAAGAGAACTGAATTAAAGATAATCATATGCGGCTACTAATAGAAACTGTTTTTCAATATTTTTTGCTTGTTAAGAAAGCAACAAAAAAAAAACCAAAAGCAACAGAAAGATGTGTTTAAAAGCGCACTGTTACATAAACCACTGGTAGACCACTGCTGATACCAGCGGGCATTTCACCTCCTTTCTTTTGGAAGTACAAAAGAACAACGATTGAATTGAAAAAAGTTTGACGAAAAAGAAGGAGTTATTTTCAATCATAAAATAGCAATTAAGTACAGCAGAAGAACTTGAAGTTAAGGCTAATTTGTTGATCAGTTGGTGTCTAAAATAAATTGAAAAAAAAAAAAAAAAAA